ATAGGGTGCTATACTACACCATCCATTGTCATAGGGTGATATTACTATATCATCCATTGCTATAGAGTGCTATAACCATCAAGTGTCATAGGGTGCTATACTGTTTACCATCCATTGCCATAGTATGTCTTGTTATACCATCCATTTCTGTAATTGCCAAGTTATGCTATTTCCCATTTCCATTCATCCATTCAGAAGATTCTTTGTAAGTAACATATCAGAGAAAGTATCAGATTTGATCTCCAGTAGAAATGATAAGATTACTACATAATTGAGCTCGAAAAGGAAAGTATAAAATCATACAAGTTTAGACCCACTTACAGGATCTTTCTGTGTAAAGATATAGTTTGAATTAATGCATGGTTGAACAGTGTAAAGACATAATCATGCCTATTATGTAAAAGTCAATGACTTGCCCATTTCGTCTTAAAAAACCCCGCAAACTACATATACCGTAGACATTCCATTTTAGTTGTCAAAGTTGTCTAAAATGATAGTATTCTTTAGTGCTTTAAGTTTAGTAATAGCAGCTGGATAGCAGGGATTTTAATTTTAATGTTTAAATAGCTTTAGTTTGATTTACATCTCTCTACACTCACACATCTATGTTAAGTTTATGTAAATTTAGGCAACCTGGACAACTAAACAGAATATCTTCAATCCCCGCACAATTTTAGAAGACTAATTGGTCAAGACAAATAGTGACTATCACTTTACGACAAGTGACAAGATGTTGCATTGACAACGGTAATAAATTGACAAAGAATCAAATCTCCAAGAAGTCAGATTGGCTCTAAATGATAATTATATCACCATGCCAACTGAAAAAAAATTCAACAGATACTCAAGTTTGCCTATACAGTTTTCCTACCAATTAATCATCAATACCTTGTAATAATTGCCTTTCCTTAGTTCAAAGCAAAAATGATGGTACATCATGTACCTGCTGGCCATCATTTGACCAAAATAAAAAGATGATAAAAGGCTAATATAAGAGATCTGCAGAAATCATATTTCAAAATCATCTAATAAAGCTTCTAACTCTTGGCTGTACGACATAGTAAAGAAATTAGTATCAAACATAGGTTTTACAGATTTGAGGTTCTACAGAATGGTAGTCAATCAAAAAAATATAGTCCAGATATTGATTTAATCCAGTAGCTTTGTCGTTACTCTGTGGTATTTGGATCCACACTAGCTGATGTGTACTTTGCTGGAAATAATCACTTCTGTCATCATCATCATCTCAGCTTCATCTGCATAGCACGGTATCTGACTCTTCTACTCAGGCAATAATGGTAACATTAAAGATTCTGGCAGACTATAGGGATGTGACAACATCATCACTACTTTCATCATCATCACTATCAATTACAGTATAGGTACCATCTAAGTGTTTGTTATGGCAGTAACTTTCGGCATGTCAATTTATCAAGCTTCATGCATCACTTGTTCAAGTATGATCCAATGTCTGTTCCCATGGCCAGCTATATTCTCACTCGTGTTCTTGTTGCCATTTGCTTGTAAAACTAAATGATTTTGCATCGGAACTATATGAGCATCCTCTAGCAACTTGGTCAGTACACTATGCCATATGCAATCATTTATACTTTTTGACAATCGATCCTCAGTGAAAGGTTCCTGGATGTATGCAGCCGAAAACTTACCAAACAGCAGACAGACGGTCATGTATTGATGCAGCTGAATACTCACCAATGATTTGTGCATGAAGGATGGATGCTTTTAATCTAACTATACTAGACTGAAATGAACCCTATATACCCACCATGCTTTAAAGATTGAATTAATTGGGATGATGTTGCCAAACTGAAAACATGCCTGCATGTATAATACTCAACAAATTGGTCAGTTTATCAAAGAATGCATTTTTGTGCATCATTTATATTAATTTTCATGAAATTTGTAAATTTTTCAATTGACAAGACTTTCTAGTTTCAAAACATGAATACCTCTGTGTTGTTCAAAATTCTAAACAATCAAATTCATGTATCACAAATTGTAACACATTTTCAATTGATGTCATGAATGTAAATTTCTTCTTGAATAATTTTAAGCATTCATGGAAATATTAAAATAGGAAAAAATAGAAAAGAATTTGACGAGGCTTAAGAGATTTTAGTCCTCTATACTTACAGTACATGTAGTGGTGCTTCACTTGGACAACTGCTTTGATTGATGGTCGATGTCTACATGATTATATTACAACTATTTATACAACTATTTATATATATTTATATGAAGAGGTATCTTTACAATGATTATTAATTAATGTTGTTTCTAGGTCAAAAAAGATACATCAATTTGATATTTTTACAACAGTAAACTGCTTTATAGATATTCATTCTCTTCTTCAGTTTTGCATATCAAAAAACATATTTCTATCCAAGTATCTTATTACAAATATCTAAACTACAACAGCTGCAACTATTGACTTGTTGAAGCAGGATCCAGCATTGACGTGATAACCACAGGTGAAACTAAAAGATCTTCAGCAGGCACCAGAGTATTGTTTACCAAAAAAATACTGTAGATGAAAACTTTAGAAAAACTCCAAGACCACACCAGCAGAGACATAAATTATTTTTTTATTTAATTTTTCCATAATTTTACTGAGCACAAAATGATTAAAATATTACAGCATCCAGTGTCCATTCTTGTCAACATCCAATGCAAGTACTCCAAGTTCCAGTGTCCATTTCAGGGACCAGGTACTGTTCACAAAGTCACCCAGAGATAAAGCCATATACCAGAAGTGGTTGGATTCCAAAAAGAGTAGAAAACCCAAAAGTAGTTGAAATCCAAAACAGTAGAAAACCCAAAATACTTTTAAAAAATATTAATACTTTTTTAAAAATTCCCCAAAAATCGCAAAAATTTAAAATACCAGCAGATTTAAGAATTTAAAAATCCTGGAATACAAACAACTACATGATAACAATAATAATGACAACTTCAAAACTTATAACTCATGACATAAATATCAATCATCAATAACTGTACGATGCATAATACATAAATGGGGACCTACTCCTAAGGAGGATTTGTTCTCTGTATTGTCCACAAATGGGGAGGTCCAGTGTATAGCTTAAGGGCTAGTCCCACCATACAAAGGACCCCAGTCATAGTCATAAGACCCCCGCTTGTCAGACACTAGGTTAAACATGTACTTACTTGGGCCAATGCAAGAGTACTCRCATACAGGCCACCCCCTGGTGCACTGAAACAATGGAGCAGAACTCCAAGGATCAACACAGCCAGGGTCAAGTGTCAACAGCCCCAAAAATGGAAAAGACAGAGCATCAAATCCTCAAAAAACTTCCACCTGGACAAAAGACGCAGGAATTACCACCATGCATAACCATACAAATACA